TTGTTCGAACACAAGACATTCCAATTACAAGGCAAGCTCGTATACCATTCATCTACTGAAACCCAATTCAACGGCCCATGAATTCTAACTTCTACCAATTCGTGGCTTTAGCGCAACCACCAACCAATGTCATAGACGGAAACTCCATCATATATATATATATGCCTTTGTTACTTTAATTTTAGTAAATTAAATATCCTCATAGTGTAATTAGAACAAGGTGCTTTTGAGCGAACAATTCCTCTTCTGAATCTGTAGCTATAAATCCATGAATATTGTAATACAAATAACCATTAAAGGCATACGAAAATTATATCGGAAACTGTCTGTATTGGAATACATGTCGGTAGGTCGGTTTTCGACGTAGAACTTTGCACATATGTGCGGCAGTTCAAGTCGCCACAATCCATGTAGCACACAAAGCAAGAGAGGAAAGTAGGAGAAATGCATAATATAGATAGTAAACAGAGGTGTGAGACAAAGGTATATTATTAACGAAGAACAAAACAGTTTAATTGGAAATTATAAGTCACAAGGAGTGGATGCATCTGCACCAGCCATTGAGAACGATTTCGAGCCATGTCACCAATTGTCTCCAGCCTTCATTGGGGTTTACAGTCCCGAGGGTCCCAACCAGTCATGAAGTCTACACCTTCCTACTTGGCTTAAACTAACTGTTGTGGATTTCATTGACTGATGAAACCATGTTTTGGTTTGACCAGCACTGGCTCTTTTCCAACCTGACCCTATGTCAGCTAACATTGCCCGTCGAGAAAGGCTACGACTAGGCATACGTAACACATGTCCTAACCAGCTCAGTCGATGTAATTTCACGGCCTCGTCGATTGATTTCCCCACCTTACCTAGCACTCGACGCCTAACCTCAGTATTGCTCACCTTATTATACCACTTCACGCAGGAGATAGAACGCAGACACCTATGATCGAAGACAGTTAATCTTTTCATGTCTTCTGCTCTCAATGACCAGGTCTCACAACCATAAAGGAGAACGGAGCGGACTGCTGAGCAGTAAACACACCCTTTGGTCGATAGTCGGATATCACGTCTACGCCATATACATGTATAATATGGAGTGATAGTTCAGTATTTAATAATGTCAAATGAACGTATATGAAAAAAATGTGCAGTCAATTAGAACATAAGATAAAGTGTGAATAGAAAAAAGGGTAACCTACTAATGTATACTTCTTTAATTTTGAGTAATTTCCCTGAAAAAGTTTGGACTAGTTTGCCAAACGAAACGTTAGAATTATTTATTTCAATTTCACTGAGATTTTACAAATATAATTTATACACACGTCTACTTCTTACTCGGCAGCCAATTACTATGGCATTGTTCAATCATAGTTCATATAAATTATAAATTAATGGGTTTGAAAACCAAGTCTTAATTATAAACACATGTAGGCAGACACGTAGACACCTAGTATCACAGAATACGTAACTAAGTATAAAGTATTTAGAACGAAAATAAATAGAACGAACACAATTTTGTTTTTAATAACGTCTTCTTCACTCTCTATCTACTAAAGTTACAAATCTAGTAATGTAAGCATAAAATAGCCAGTAGAAGTAATATTAGACCTGTATCACAAAATCGGTATTGTAGTACATGTACAAGATGGAATAGTGGTCAGTTTTAGCTTTGAATGCCATTGCAGTGACTAATCATGATTTTATTTTGATTACAGCTTGATGCCACACCGTATTTTCAGTACAAGTATGGAATTTTCAACAAGTGATATCGGTAGCCCAAATATTGCAGGCCAACCGTAGATATCGAGTGTGCATCGGCAGGGGATCGAACCTCGGACCATGTGCATGGTCGGCGAGAATCTTAACCACTGTGCCACCGACACCCAGTAACCTATCAAGAGGAGCTCGACTACAATCTCCCATCAGTAGCCAAAGTGGTAGTCACCAAATACCAGAAGACCTTATCGCTATGTCCAATAGATGTATATCTGGCTGCTTTATCTGCCTAAAGTAAAGTCAAAAAAACCTTTATTAAATCGCTATCAAATTATTTTCCTTACACCTCTTTGATATAAGATCTTATACGATTTCATGACCTTTTTTAACTGAGTCTGTTATCCTAAATTTATGTAGTATTTTTCTCACAATTGTTATAGTATTCACGTAATCCTGTTGTCTCCAATTTGTTAAAGTCTTCGTTACTTGATAATCGTACAACTAAAAGTACTTTTAGACAAAGCTGTCAAGTACTCCCAGGTTCTCCAGTGGTTCTCTAACTGATGTCAACTCATAATGAAATCCTCCATGCAATGAAAGCAATAAGAAGACGTAATTTGTCTGAATCGTGTATGTAGTGTATTTGCGCAACACATTTCGAACAATCTGATCACATACGAACTTGTTATGGGAATACATATGAAATTAATAAAGAGTTAAGAAATGAAGTCTTCCTCAGTAAACTCTCTTTTGATACCAAAGCAGATGTACTATTACTTCTGTTATTTGGTTTAGTGACCTTCAATGTGTCCTTTTAACTTGACCTAAGTTTATTTTCTCACCTCTTAACTCTTTATTAATTTCATATATATACTCCTATGACAAGTCAGTGTGTGATCAAATTGTTCGAAATGTGTTGCGGAAATACACATTAAACGATTCAGACAAATTACGTCTTTTCTATAGTTTGGTTTGTAAGGGTTAGTTTTGTTTTTACGAGTTGATCACGGAATGATATCAGTTGATACCAGTACTCCCTGGTTTTCAATGCTTCTCTGACTGATATCTATCTGTGATCAACTCGTAAGAATTACGTCTTTTTATTGCTTTGTCTAAATTCATAAATGGAACTAACTGTTTTAAAAAAAGTACTTTTGTGTTTACACCATATCCTTATTACCACTATTTTGTTATTATTGCCGTTGTTTGTCATCGCTCGAAAATAGTATATCCAACACATCCCATTTGTTTGTCTGTAGTATTTATATTGGCTGGAATAAAACTGACTACAACTCAACCCTTGAAATCTAGATTATAATGCCTCACTCAGTTATTTTACCTCCGTTCATCTCATCATCTTATTGACTAACCATCATTTTATATGCATATAAACGATAATCAAAATTATCTGACTATTTTTTTCTAGTGTTAGTGTTTTCAGAGATCTAACTGATTTCAAGAATGGTCGCGAACTGACATCAGTTAGAGAACCATCGAGGAGCACTGGACAGTTGTTTTGTCCCTGTTTGAAACTCCTCAGTAGTACGTACCTACGACCCCACCAGGTATACAATCCAGGACCTTCGGGTTACAAGGCGAGCTCATAGACTATTCACCTACTTGGATGGAACCCAATAGCTCATCAATTCCTTAGTGGAATCAGAAAAGTCTCAAATAAGAACGAAGAAACAGGTGTTCATTACTCCCTGGTTTTCAGTGATTCTCTAAATGAAGTCCCTTTGTGATTAGTCTTGATATCTGAGTATTATTCCATCTTGTACATATACCATTATACAGACTTTTCTACTGGCGGTATGCTTAAAACTTGGGCTACCGGAAACCTCCGTCAGTATACTGCATATAGTTTCCCTTATCCACTTTGTTTAAATCTAGTAAAATATGACCTCTAACAATATGATTTACTCTGGCGAGTCTTTAAAACATTCACAACCTGTTGATTCGCAAGTTTCTACTAAACACGTGAAAAGGTATTAACCTCGATGACACATTATCCTAATACATGAGATGACCATCCCTGAGTGATGATATGATTATGAGCAAAACATTGTGCTCGAAAAGTCATCAGTAAATATTACCGTATAACATAGTGACGCTTTATCAAAGTAAATTTTACTCATACTGAAATTATACTCTGCCACAGTGCACAAGTTTTATTCTTACCAGCACTCCGCTCCGGCCTCCTTTATGGCTGTGAGACCTAGCCATTGAGAGTGGAAGACATGAAAAGGCTAGCTGTCTTTAATAGTAGGTACCTGAGTTCTATCTCCCGTGTGAAATGGTATAATAGAGTGAGCAATATTGAGGTTAGACGTCGAGTGCTAGGTAAAGGGGGGGGAATCAATAGACGAGGCTGTGAAGTTACACAGACTGAGATGGTTAGGACATGTGTTACGCATGCCTAGCCTACCTATCGCCTTCCTCGACAACAGTCAATGTTAGCCGACATAGGGTCAGGTTGGAAAAGAGGCAGTGGTGGTCAAACCAAAATATGGCTTCATCAGTCAGTCAAATCCACAGCAGTTAGTTTAAGCCGGCCAAGTTAGGGAGATGTATGCTGCTGACTGGTTGGGGTCCTCGGGACGGTAAACACCAATGGCTGGAGACAATTGGTGATATGGCTCGAAATCGTTCTCAGTAGCTGGCGCAAGTACATCCACTCCTTGTGACTTATAATTTCCAATGAAACTATATTTTTCTTCGTTATTACTATTCCTTTTGCCTCATATCTCTGTTTACTGTCTCTATTTTGCGTTTCTTTTTACTTTCTTCTTCTTCTTCTCTGGCTTTGTGTGATGAGTGAAGTGCGGCGACTCGAACTGCTGCACATCTGTGCAAAGCTCTACGCTGGAACGAGTCAGTCGGTCAGTCAGAACTTTTTAAAATTGGCTGTCAGACAAATGTCATACATTTCTCTGAATATTTAAAGAAGAAACATCATAATGGATTGGTGTGACCTCCAGATCAGACAGCATTGTGTCACAGGATCTACTATCAATTAATATTTTATTAAAAGATCCTGTACGAAGAGAAAATGTTATGCGGTTGACTCCTCTGAAAGTTTTGTACACTATGTAAACCCTGTTCAGAATGAAGCTATTGTTACTACTGTTATTAACATTACTGGATTTATAGAGACTGTAGAGACTGAAGAAAACGTTATTGAAATCAAAATCCTTCGTGCTAACTATTCTTGTTAGAATATTTTTAATGAATTCCTTTAGTTTATAAAATGACATACACGCACACACACAAACACACAAACTTACATAACAATCTTCTACCCAATGATCTTCTAATGGTTGATGAGGAATTTCAATTTCACATGCCACATCATTTTCATCGATAGTTGTTACATCTGAATCTGCAAAAAGGAAAATAAGTTAGATAAGGAAAACTGAGAATTGTATGCCCGACTCTAGAGTGACGAATGCATACACATACATTAGCATACTCATACTATGTCTACGAATCAATTTTCGAAGAACAATCAACAATGTCTAGACATAAGTAATTATCGAAATATATTTATGTACTTTATAGTGTAACTGTTTGACGTTGGTCATTAATATGATAACAAAGAATACAGCTCATAGACGCTGATTTAAATTCCACATATTTCTGTCTAATATGAGACTAACACCTGTAAAGCTATCAGTTTGATTTTAGAGGATGGGCTTTTGGATTTGTGTGGGCACTTGTTACTTACAAGTTAATTTCTTCTTGCGGTACCAGAAATAGAATGTTACGTGACTGCAGAGCCTAAGGGACAACTGCTTAAGGCCGGCTACACATGGCCTATCTGAATCGGCTTTCGGAATTGTGTCCGTATTAAAATCTTACTGCCGGCCACAAAGTAAAATCGAGATGCATAGTATTCAGGATCGACTTTTCTAACCGCCAATCTCTTTAGAGGGAGGAGGCAGCATATCTATCATGCTGGTCATCCAAGGAAAACAACTTACTGGTTTTACATACGACTTCGCCCCAACATAGTGTAAGCACCTAACACTGCTTTTAGTCTAATCACCATTTAAAAAACCCTTCTGGCAAAGTAGGACCTACAGGAACATTATTTCCAGGCGGTATAGCTCACTGAGTCATTGTGATATGTAAAACCAACCTCCACACCATGATAGCAGCTATTCATCGGGAATTTTAGAGGGTAAGAAAAATATTTCAATTGACTTTATTGGTTGGGAATGGTTGAGGAGCAAGGAGTTAAGAAAACTGTGGAGCGTATAACAGTGTCAAAAGGAAATGGGTATAAAAATAGGTAAAAAGACAAGATAAAGACGATTAACAATAAATAAATGGATTTTATGAGTCACTGAAAGCGCTTCATACTTTGCAATTACCTACATCATTAAATTTGATGTCCTGTCCGTGCTCCTCAGGTGGAGGAAGAATAATCTGTCTTTGACTGATGATGGATACTGAGATATGTGTGTGCGTGTTTACAAACAGTCGTGATAAATACCCATCAAGACATCAGAGGGAAAAGAAAAACAGACTTGTTCAAATATTGGTTTGTAAGGATTTGATTGGTTGGTTACAGGAGGTCGGGTGTGAGGACAAATGCTCACCAAAGATATTGGCTAGTGGTCGCACTATGTCACAGAAGTTAGAATTCATGAGCTGGCCATTGGATCGAGTCCCAGTGGCTTAATGGTTTACGAGGTCGCCTTGTAACCAAAATGTCCTGGGTTCGGAACCCGATGGGTGCGTATTAACGAAGAGTCCCAAACTAGGACAAAACGGCTATCTGGTACTTCCAGGTTTTCCAATGGTTCTCTAACCGATGCCAGCTCATGGTAAAAACCTGTAACCAAGCAAGAGACTTAGCAAATATTTCTTTTCGGTGATTTCATTCTCAAAAGCAGTTGTACAATCGCATTTTTATACATAAGCTTACATAGTTGCAATTATTATTTAATTCAATATAATAACGAGAGAAGATTAAAAGGTGATAATAATTTTCAATTTGATATGACAGTTTGAAGGTGTGAATCTAAATCACAGCGGGCATTGGAAACAAAATTACACAAAGGATTAGAAAACAGTTGCATAATATGTAAAATAGTTCTTAACAAAGACATATGTGATGAACAAGAATGTAAGTGTAAACTTATGCGTATAAAATGCGATTTTACAGCTGCTTTTGAGGATGAAATCACCAAAAAGGATATCCTTGCTGAGCTGCCTGTTCTTTTCTCTCTTTGTAACCAATCACAAAAAAGCTTTCAAGACGGGTGATTTTTATAGAGATGCATCTTTGCTTATCGAATCTTACAATGAAACAGATAGAAGGCTGTATGAAAAGCGTTAATAGCTCTCTGAGCTAAAAATCTTTCCCATTATTTTATAGTCAACCCTTTTAAGTAGTTTTTCGGAGAGTGAGAAAACAGAACATATATGAGGATGCTCAAAAGCACCTTAATATTATGGGAAAAAAGCTCTTAAACAAAGGCTCGTTCTCTTCCTCTAATGCCAATATGGAGTCTTTCCGATCCCAAAAATAATCTGTGCAGCTAAGCAAGATGGTGGGATCATTAACATGTAGGGACCTGACACCCAGTTTCTATGTGGCGACTCACTGAGCTTCAACATAGAACTCTGCACAGAAATGCAGCATTTCAAGTTGCCACAATCCCCCTATCTAGCACAAAAAGACAGAGAAATGAGAGAAAAAGGAGATTCAGAAGAAGTATAATGAACAGAAATGTAAGGCAGAAAGAATAGTAGCGTGGAAAAACACTAGGGATTAACAGATATGTAAGAGCATAGAAATTGAAGTCATGTGCACTATTCAGAACGATTCTGAGCTATATCACCGATAGTCTCTATTGGACCCTAACCTGGTAGTCTACACCTCTCTAGATGGCTGCTTCAAACTAACTGTCAAAAATTTCATTGACTGATTCCAGGCTTTGGTTTGACCACCCTTAATTCTTTTCCAGTCCAGTCCTATGATATTGGCTGGTTAGAGGCAATCGGCGGGGGGAAGTCTTGGACCTAAGTTTCGTGCTAGTTGGCACTCACTCGTCAGCAAGGCGTATCTGCAACCTTGAAGGAACTCATGTCCCTTCGAGATTCGAACCCGTGTCACCCAGTGCTGCAGTTGGTCAGAGACGTTACCACTGACTGATAGAATTCAATCTGCACCAAAGAAAGGACTAGACACATCCAGTCCCATGCCAGTTAACATTTTTCGTCGTCTATATGACAGCTATCACTTAACTATTGATATAAACTAATTAATTACTAACTACTCAAAGGAAAAATAACCAGATGAGCGTTGTATCAAAAATGAAATCTGTTTACAACATAAGGATAAGTATCGCCTAATTCACAAGAACCTTCTAATCAAGTCTGTATAAGCGTTATCTAACTGTACATCACGTGTGCTATTTCAACATCTTTACAAATGAATTTAGCAGCACTTGATTGAAGTAGCCGAAATATCTTTCACCGAAATAATGAAGAAAAAAAGAAAGCATGTGAGCAAAGATTACCACATTATACATGATTAAATTATTAGTTCCACAGATCTGAATTGACACATTTTTCCATATTTAATATACACACAAAGAAAAAACACATCAACAATGTAGTCCACTTCTAAACATTCTCTAGGCAACATCTTCCTTTATATACTGGGAAAAAATGCAATGAAAAAAAACTAAAAGTATGTCAATGAGATGTTTACAAATTGTGGAGGATTTACTACAATAAGTAATCAATGAGTGTTAGCACACAATGATAAATAATATCTGTGTGTGTGTGTTAATGTGTTGGATCATTCACCACACGTTTAACCGTTTCATATAATTTTACAGGTTTGATCATAGGGTTGACATCCGTTAAGGAATCGTTAGAAAACCTTGAAGAACTGAACAGCTGTTTCGTCCCAGTCTGGGACTCACCGGCGGTACACTCATCCACCACCAGGGTTCGGTTACAAGGCGAACTCTCAGACTATTCGACCACTGGGACCCGATCCAATGGTCCATGAATTCCAACTTCTGCCAATTCCCGACATATGTAACGCAACCGCCAGTCAATGTCATCGGCGATTAACACTGTCCTCTTCCTTGCAAACCAACACTTGAAAATTAATTTGATGCACACTAATAACTGGCTCTATACAGAAAGTTACTAAGAATTCTAATGAGAAATCGTAACCAGTGGGGTCCACCAAGTCAGGTAAGAGATCAGTTACTCACCTATAACATTGGCTGCCCTTTGTGTTACATATGTTGCGAACTTATTTACATTTGTGTATCCACATTCTAAAATGAATATATAGATCCCTCTTTACTGTTGTGGGCAGTCTTGTTTATGGATACAGGCAGACCGGAAACTTAATGTTTATTTTTATGACTTTGATTGATACTTAAGGAATCACAGAATTGTTTTTGTGACATGTAGTATCAGAGGGAAATAATCAAAGTAGATTTTCAAGTATTGGTTTTGTAGGGATTTTTTTGTTGTTTGATTGCATGGAGGATTTCATCATGAGCTGACATCAGTTAGAGAACCACTGGAGTACTGGACAGCTGTTTCGTCCGAGTTCGGGATGCTCACTAGAGACTGGCCCTATTCAGACAGTTAACCTGGGGTTCCAGTGGGAAGCCGTGACCAGTAGGGTACAGCAGGTTGAAGATGAGGTAGTAACTCATCGAAGAAGACATTGCGAAATGGTCGCGCTATATCGTGAATTGCCAGAAGTTAGAATTCAAGGACCATTGAATCTGGTCCCAGTGGCTCAATGGTCTACGAGCTCGCCTTGTAACCAGAAGGTCCTGGGTTCGACCCCCGGTGGGTGAGTAGTGATGAAGAGTCCCAAACTAGGACGAAGCAGCTGTCCAGTATTCCCAGGTTTTCTAGTGGTTCTCTAACTGATGTCAGCTCATGATGAAATCCTCCATGCAATCAAACAATGTAGATTTTTCCAAGTAATTGAGTAACTTAGTTTGTTCTGATGAATAAGACTGGTTATGTCTGTATTTATCTGGTCATTCACACAAGACAATAAGGTGACATAATTCATCTGGCAAGTGTATGAAGGCAACACATATCAGACTTCCTGATCACAGTCATACTTGTCTGAATAGTTATCTTCTGTCCAGATTATTAGCATTTCTCGTGTTTCTTCATCGACTAGTGGGCAAATCAATACGAGCGTGTCTGGTTTATTGCTTGTAAACCTGTGTGTTCAGCACATCTCAACATGCAGAATGTATGAATCTTGGAGTAAAGGAAGAACGCCGGAGAATTTTTGACAGACTGGTACATAGATCAGTCAGTAACATTAACGTCAACCTAATCTATTGAACAACCAAAAAACAAGGCAAGCTCCTAAACCATTCAGCCCCTGAGACCTGACTCAGTGGCCCATTACGTGATTTTAGCGCGACCACCCGCCAATGTCATCGACGAGTGTTTCCCCGACTCACAACCGGGTGGACCCCACTGGTCACGACTTCTCACTAGACATCCAGCTAAGTCCTGAGGTCGAACCCCGATAGGTGCATACTGTTGATGAGTCGCAGACTAGGATGAAGCGGTTGTCCAGTACTCCCTCTCAACCCGTCGTCAAACTTGAAACAAATCCAGTCTCTATAAACTAACTCTTGGAAAACAAAAATACAGTCATAAATCGATAAGACAGACAGCTAATAAGAATGAATGTAAAGAGACGACGGTGTAACACAAATTCATGAACAGCTAGTGACTTTCATGAAAATGAGAATAAAACGCTAGCAACACTTGTAATCGAAACTTCTGACAGTTGTTTAAAATTGAAATAAAATCTTCGCTACTAAACTATACTCGGAAAATACAACACCATCAATATCAGGCCAACTGGCTCAAACTATTCTCCACTTAATTTGTAAAGTGTGTAAGTTAAAGAATTCTTTTTTATGGTTTTCAAAGTAGGTTGTGAACTAACATCAATTAGGGGACCACTAAAAACCAGAAATTGCTGGGCGGCTATTTCGCCCTAGTTTGGGACTCTTCAATAGTATGCACCTATGACCCCGCTAGGGATCAAACAAAGACTTCCACGTTGCTACGGGAACCCATTCACAATAAGTCTGATGGGAAGAAATTCAATGACCCATGAATTCTAACTCTTTCCAAAAGCAGCATCGATTGAGGTGGCGACGATATGTTACACATACCCGGTCGTCGCCTTCAACTGGCAATGTTAGCTGACATTCCATCAGGTTGAAAAGAGTTATGGGTGATCAGATCAAAACCTAGGATCAGTCCAAGAAATGTTAAACATTTAGTTCCATCCAGGCACGTAGAGAGGTGTAGACTGACTTCCAGGTTGGGGTCCTCAGGATTCTAAGAACCAAATGCTGGTGATTACTGATGATATTGGCTCAAAATTGTTCTCAGTGGCGCAGATACATTCACTCTTTGTGATCAGCCGTATTCAATAGAAACCTTGTTACTATTCTTTCTCCCTCATATTTCTGCTTATTAGCATTCTTTCGAATACATGTTTTTACCCTCTTTTATCTTCTTTTGTGGGGTAAATGGAGTGTGGCAACTCGAACTGTTGTACTTCTGTGCAAAGTCCTATGCTGAAACTAGTCAGTCATTAGTGAGTTTTAGTTAACTGCTTTACACTTTTATGTACGACCATAATCATTTGTAAAATTCAGTTATTAAGATCTACATTAAAAAAAATAATAACACGCATTAAGATTAAGAGAAATATAGGAACACTTTATTAATTCAGTGATGACGGTTATGGAGGTTATCTAATACAGTGTGCAAGTAAGTAAGTAAGCAAGCACATATATACGTGAACAATGACTGACAGTTTACTTCAGTATAGATAGTGTTCTTACGAGTGTAATATATGTGGACTGAGAAATACACATACTTTCAAGTGTATGAATGAAGAAAACAGAGTATATACACGCTAATATACCTCTATTATTACTGCTATCATTATTATTATTATGTTTTGATTATGGATTTTTGTAGGGATTTGGATCAGTGTCAATGTAGATCTCATTACGAACTAACATCATTCAGAGAGATCATTAAAAACCATGGAGCAATGGACAGCTGTTGGCAGACATTAAGAATACTGACCACGGAGTGTGAACGCACCAATGACCTAGAACGCATATTATTCGTTGGATTACAGAATCTGACGTGTATTCTTCATAGAAAGCTGTTTATTTACAAGAAAAATACAAACAAGAATAAAACACTCTAACTAATGCTTGCCTTAAACCAAACCCCAATCACAACCTTGAACTTAATCCTGATCCTAACCCTAAATTCCTATCAGCCTATGTTCAAACAGGAATTAAAAACGAGATCAGGATGAAATTTGCATCTCAGTTCGTGTACGGAGTCCATACTGGGGTCGTATTAACAGAAACTTCTGTAATCCAATGAATGATATGCGTTCGCATTCCGTGGTCGCTATTCTTTAGGTTTGCTCAGCGGTTGTACCCTATTTTGGGACTTTTCAGAAGTGCGAACCCCTGACCCCACCATGGATCGAACTGACGACCTTCAGGTTACGAGACACAGCTCATTGACCATTCTCAGCTACTCGGGAAAGGATTTAATAACCCTTGAATTCATGATGCAGAGGTAGTCTCAGACAATGCCTTGGGTTAACATTCACTTCACCTTGACACTGCGAACCCTTACTGGTCACGACTTCTCAGTACAGCTTTAGGACATCCATCCAGTAGTCATCAATGAGCTGGAGATTGGTTATTTAGCTTATGGGTGTTTTGTAGGGATTAGAAATAATTCCGATGTAGATTTTCTCACTGCTGAAGAGTACCAAACTAGCACGAAACAGCTTGCACAGTGCTCTGTAGTTTTCAATAATCTTTCTAACTGATGTTGATTCGTGACAAAATCTATACTGAAATTATTATCATTGTTACCAGTATTATTTGTTAAAAAAAGTAGTACTTACTAGAAGGTGATTGTGACCGCGGTCGTGTAGGCTGGAAAAGAAACAGAGAAGAGGGAATGAAAAGTATATCGAACTAATTATAATCATAACAGATGGTTGAACAACAAGATCAACAATAACAACAAATGACGTAAACACCTTGTTATCTATCATGCAATCGATTTATGTGTGATTACAATGAGATGAAGGCAAGCAAGTAAATTAGACAACATGATCGGAGGAAATAGGAAAGCAAGTGGGGAGATATGATTACACACACACACACAAACACATATACACCAACAAAAGTGACAACAACGATGATATACGTACACACAAACACACACACATGAAGAATTACTTCATTGAGATTATCAATAAATTTCATCATATTGCCCGACGATGAGTCTTCTTCATAGGTGATGTTTTGTTGCTGCTGTTGATCGGGTGTCATCATTTCATTCAGTGTTTCTTCAGTAGTATTACCCCAATTGTTGCTATTAATGACGGTGGTTTGACTAACCGATGCTTCTGATGCATAATCTTCATCATTATCAATATCACTCTCTTCCATAACAATTGACATTCGATCAGGGTAACCAATGACAACTTGTTTTATTTCCACATTACGACTTGATATTAAATTATCCTCAGTTGGATACAACTGCTGGTTGTCATTGTAATCGTCGTCTCTACTGTTAGTATCAGATGTTGTTTGTAGGTGGTCCACCTTTCGACTATTAACATCTTCCGCATACTGTTGTCCATCAGTGCTGTTTAACATTAGTTGTTCTTTCTCTGTAGATGTTAGCTGTCGATTATCTAATGAGTCTGATAGCAGTTTTGCAATATCGAATAATTCATCCAGTGTATCATATTCATCATCGCCGTCATTAGTGTTGACAGTAGAGACAGTTTCGTCGTCATTATTATTATTATTATTATTACTATTATTAGACCTAGAAGTCTCTGTAGACTTTAATAAATTTAAATTTTTGATGACAATTTCATCATCCATTTCTTGGTCACTAACTATCGAATCTTGAGTGTTGACAGTATCATGTTCCAAGTCAAGTTGTATATCATCATTCTATAAGTATAAGTCAGTTATAAATAGACAGAAACAACAAGACAAATGAGACAGTCGTACAGATCGAAGGATACGACTTCATCTAGTCAATTATACATAAATATATGATTGTATTATTTTCATTAATTTTATCACATTACCTGTGGGAGAGAAGGCTTCCATTGAATAACATTCTACTCACTAGGATACTGAAATAAGTAGCTGACGAGTTCGGAGGGGAACAGAAGCCACGTTTACGATACCACTGATAACAGGATGGTATTAAACAAGTGTTTCATGTACTGTTGTTGTGAATAAGTAAACTTCTTTTTTCACATCTGTTCATTACTCACTCGACCAGCGTCAACTTTTAGAACATTACTTCCTAAAGACTACTGAACGCTTCATTTGACTTCTTATCACTTATAAAATATCTAAATAGCAAGTTACTAACTACTTTGGTATTTGCCTGTCATTTTTAGCCATTCCATTGAATTACTAGGCTAACTCTAAGGCTGTATCTAATACGTATCTAAATGAATTATTGGTCATGGTGAATTTATCAAATGACTTTTAGTCACCGTGTTTAACATTTTTATTAATCCCCATTTCCTTTCGTATTCCTTATTCTCTTCTGGAGTCATATATGGAGACTACGCTATATTGCTTAGGACTATGAAGGATATTAGGAAAGCTGGTGATGGGAACTTAATTCTAGCCAGTACAGCTCATAGGTTCATCACGATACGCAAACTCAACTACCACATCAAGAAGATAGCAGTTATCGGTTGGACAACCGTAGCTCACATAGAGTTAGGTTAAAAAACAGTTAAGGGTGGTCAAACCAAAGCCTGGAATTAGTCCATGAAGTCTTTGACAGTTGGTTTGAAGCAGCCATCTAGAGAGGTGTAGACTACCAGGTTGGGATCCTCGGAGTTCTAAGAACCAATGGCTAGAGACTATTGGTGATATGGCTCAAAATCGTTCTCAGTAGTGCAGATACCTTCACTTTCTATGCTCCTGCACATCTGTCAAACTCTAGTGTGTTTTTCTACGTTACTATTCTTTCTGCCTTACATTTCTGTTCATTATACTTCTGTTGAATCTCCTTTTTTTCTGTCTTTTCTCTTCCTTTGTGTGCTAGATAGAGGGAGTGCGGCGACTTGAAATGCTGCATTTCTGTGCAGAGTTCTATGTTGAAGCTCAGCCAGTCAGTCATGTGATGGACACAACTGTAGATACGCAGCCTAGCTCGTTTAACCAATTAACTGTATTTATTTAATCAGGTGATAAAGCATCTCACTCATCGATGAATACCTCAGTATTTGTATTTAAGTTACAAGATGCACAACGGACTTTCCACAGCGCAAGAAAACTTAAAATCTATTAGACTATTTACCTCACATATGATGTGAAGAAAAGAACTTTTGAAATTACCACCTTTACTATAAAAAGTAAACGATTTTTACTTTGCATTTTTTCTAAACTCTGCTTTTCATTTATGTAATAGTGAGATTATGTTAACTTCAAGTGTATAATTAAATATAACTATTATTATCTTTATTTGAAAATGTTGTTGTAACAAAGTGTGAACTGTTTTTTCAAAAAAAAATAACAAGCTAAGAATTCTGGCTTACAAACGAACAGAACAAGATATTCAAGAGTTTGTTTGTAGGAATTCGATTTGTGTTAGGCCTGAACACGGATTGATGTCAATTAGAGAACCACTGAGAACTGGGAAACTAGCTATTTTGTCCCGGATCGGAACTCTTTGGCAGTACGCACCCACTGGGACTCGAACCCAGGAAATCCAGGTTAAAAGGCGACCTCGTAGACCATTCAGTCACTGCTACCCGAGTCAGTGACCTATGAATTCTAATGTTTCCTGATTTTAGCACAACTACCAGACACAAACCAACTCTTGAAAATTAATCTGATGACGGTCTACAAGATGAAATTGACTGGAGTTCTAGTGAGAAGTCGTGATCAGTAGGGTCCACCTGGTCGGGAGTGAGGAAGAATACTCAGCGATGACACAGGCTATTGGTCACGCTAAAATCACAAAATGGTAGAAGTTAGAATTTATGGACTTGTCAATGAGTTGTGTCACAGTGGCTGAATGGCCTACGAGTTTCCTTGTAACCTGTAGGTTCTGGGTTTGAACGCTGGTGGTGGGTGTGTACTACCAATGACTTCCAGTCTAGGATGAGACAGCTGGTTGTCCAGTACTTCCTGGATCACTGAGAAACTCAGTAAAATTAGAAAAGCCACGGATTTGTACGCTATAGAGTTCGGCCACAAAGCTGACTTCGATAATATACTGAAATTATTCGGAAAAATTTCAGAAATCATAAATAACCTCTTATAGGAGAAACAACATTCCACAGAAAATTGGAATCAAAATGATCTGAGTAAGAATGTGCTGAATTAAGTTAGAATTCCATCTGAATCCAACATCCCCCACGAACTATTAAAAATTAATCGATACGAATGTGACAAGCAGTATTCATCGTGTAAACAAATGTTGTTGTTTTATAATTCACACAATTATTTAACAATCTGTACATGCCTGTTACATTTATCGAATTTCTCACTTGACAACACAGAATTACGTCATACGGAGAAAAAATATGATCGAGTTGATGTACACATATATAAGCTGAGATTTTGTAAATTCTGGTTTACTATTTACTTCTATAAATAACGAGACCTTCCTAAAAACAAAACATCGTCTTATCTTTGATCCGTTGGGAAAAACAAATTTTAAAAAATTATTATCATTATTTTGTTTTAAATGCTGGTCTAGAACTTAAAAGCTACTCTGGAATCTGTTTGTCTGCACCACTTCATCGTTCTATAGAAGTCAGTCACATCGCTTTCTTTATATCTTCTACGTTAATTTACGCGGTTTTGAAATTAAGTGACATCAATTTCAGTCACCGGCAAACCAAAATCGCCCAGTAGATGACGTTTTGGCGTTTAAAACGATGGATGTTGGGTTTAAGCTTCAGTGGGAATACCATCACACACTGAGGTTGCAGGTACATCCAGCTATTGGGGTCCTAAATCAGAACGAAGTGTGCACCCTAGACTCCACTACAAGCCACTATCAACTAAATATCATAAAAAATTTTATACTATACACAGAGTATAATCTATGACTGAAAAGGTTGAAACATGGGTATTCCACTTTTCCATAGCTTCAGTGAAATATGGGGATGCGGCTTAAGAAGTCAACTTCCAGCCAACGGATTTTGTGATCGAATCCAACTCCACTTAATTCAGCCTAGAGAGGTGAGAGGTAACTGGATATTGTATCAGCAGCTCTTACACAATATGTGTGTAACTCATAGCCTCGTAAATGAAAAATCTATTCCAGGTAATTGAGTACTACTAACATACAAAACTTTAATTAATAGGAATGATAACTAAGTGGAAGTTTTACACGACAACTGGAAAGATGACTTCCGATAAAATAAATACTACATCTGTCATTTGTTAATTTATCTTATTTTATAGTGTTCACAAGAAGATATTTTCAGGAACAATATGTTAAGTGACCAGGGACGGTTAATTTCCTTTAAGACTGGACGGCAGTTTTATTTATAGTGAAATGGTATATTCATAGCATTTATGAAAGTTTAGAAACAACAATTATGCAGATTATAAAATGTACTCACTGAGGTCGCAGTGAGAATAGGATTTCAAGTGAACATAGAGGAGACAGAAGTCATGCAAATAACCGACCAATAACAATAACAACAACAAGAAGCATCAATCACTATCAACGGGAGGAATTTGAAGGGAGTCACTTCTTTCACTTGTCTCTGCAAGGCAGCATCGTTTCAACTACAGGCGGCGACACCAACTGGTGTGTTAAAGCCAGACACGATCAAAAAGGCAAAACAGGTCTTCATTACTCTAAAATCAGTCTGAAAACTTACTGCATCCATCACAAAGAACAAGATTAGAATTTTTAACACTAATGTCAAGTCAGTACTTCTCCACACGATTCAGAGGCTTAGTGAATCACCAACAGCATTTCAAAAAGGCTTCGAACTTTATCAACAACTGCCTTTGCTGGTTCCATACTAAAGATTGAACGGCCAGAAAGAATTATCGACAAGAAATTCTAACAACAAACCGACCAAGAATCTACTACCCAACAAATATGCTAAAGAAAACGCAGATGGATTGGTATAAGAATACAACTTGGTCATAGAGTAAAATATTGTTCTTACCAGTTTACCAGAATGGTAGGCCGGAATTTAGTTCTGGTAGGTATACAACTGTTAGGCCGGGCTAGTGTTAACATAACTTGACTGATAAGCACCAGTGGTTGATGCAACTAGAACCTAACCATTGGTATCATCCTGTGGTTTATACCAGCTTAAGTATTTGTTTGTTTCTAAATATTACCAAAGGTATTCAAAACACTTCACTTAAAACCTAAAAGGCATCTTCCAATAATGAAATACACTCTGCTGGCTGCTATGTGAATTTCTCAAACTAACAGTACAAAAGGAAGTAAAGTTTTTATCTTATTTAAATAGAGTAAGCAATGTTGTGCGGCAACATCACACATCCTTCGCAAACGTGTGAACAAATACAATTCGTTATTTGGTATACTAGTCTGACTAACAATTTGTTTTTGTAGTCTGCGTTGCATTAATCACTGAAGGAAACAGAAAATTATGTTAAAAAAACAACAGAACAGTTCAAAGAGAACAGGTAAATGCCATCATCATCATTGTTTTACTCACTCCGTTATTACGCTGTATATCTTGTCCACGTATAATTATTGACAGTTCATTGGGTTCTTCATATTCATTGTAATGATTCATTCTCTTCATGAATATCTATGGAAGCTGTAAAAATCATAAACACAACATTAAACACTGATAAGACACAACTGTGTATGGTAGTGATTTCTTTCGTAAGTAAAAAAAATAAACACATTTACAAGAGTGCACACCACAAAGTCTGTGTGTGTGACTATCTAGTTAACATAATACAACACCAAAAAACACGCTGAGAACAACCTGAAGATTTAAATAGCAGGAAACTGATGTATGTCACTGTAATTCAGAATGACATAGAAATTCAACAGATGTAGGAAATAAACACTGAAATTACTAATAACCATGTGAGGAGAAATGCAAATAATATTGGACCAATAAGATGGTCGAAATCTTAAAGACATCATCTCCTCCTTTAGGAAGTCTTTATCTATCACTGTAGTTCACCAAGTGTCTCGAAGACCTTAAATACCAAAGTGATATTACACAACCCAAGAGAGTAGTCACGGCCGACAAGGGTAATTGCTGCTAACTTTCTGGAAACCTAGTTCTACACACAAACCCAACTAATAGTGCTCATCGAGATAGAGGACATACAAAACATTTTCTAGGTAGCAGACTTCCTGTAGGTTCACAACCTTACTAATTGACCACTTTTCTTGCTTACTGCTTCCTATTAAACTTTAAAAATGCTGCGAACAGAAATCTATAACATGTGATTAGCGTTAAGTAGAAGCAGAACCCTCTTATGTTGTTATATTACCGATATGTAATAAGGCACACAGCATTAGTTAGTAATATGCATGAACGTGACCTAGCAGTTATGTGAAACTTTGAGTACACTTTTGTGAGTCACAGCAGTTGAATAAGAACTGATAATACCAGCTGGGTACAGAATCTGAGCATTTACTGTGAAACTCACGGCATAGATTTGCAAATACCAGTAATGACTGTACCTTCTTTTCAGAACTGATGAAATAAGATTCAGTTTTTATTTCTTTGATCTAGTAAGCGCACTAAGCAAGTTGATGACGATTCTATGACTAGAAGCAAAAGGGATAGTAATACACTGACTGCTGACCTTTACAAACACGTTCCGCTTCCAGGAACTAGTTTGATTTTAAAAATCCTGACCCTCTGAGAGAACTATATTTTTCAACACTGCTCTAAACCGATGAGAAAGCAGTTTCTATAAATTTCTTTTATATTTCAAAAATAAAAGTTTAGAGTAAGAACTATTAATTCTATTCAATGCAACTCAGAAATAATGTGCGCTTCTATGCATTAGACAAACATTGAGCGAATCCGTTTTGAGTAAACTAAGGATACTAGTTGCATGTTCAAATCTCATACTACACACATCCGATTTATTTTGAATGTTTGAAAATTAGTCACCGAGATTAGAGTGTAGACTTTAAAAACCTTAAAACATAGCCTTAAATCAAACGGTTACGAAATTTATCATTTGAAAAGTGGAAAATTGTTACTTTGTCAATTACGCATTTACTAGTGCTTATCCATGATAGAAGTCTACCAATATTATTTTGAAATTTTTCGAATGTGTTTCACTATTATGTTACTGCAAAAAGTTGATTTGCAACACGACGCAAAATTGGTGAATTCAAACCAGGATGTTTAAAAACTCTGCAACTGACAAAAATAATTTCGTCGTATGGTCTGTAACAATAAAGTTACAACATTTGGCAACGGTTTCATCATCATATGCCCTTTCGATCAGTCACTTGAAACTTAAAATCAGGATGAGAATACAAATATTCTTTCAATTTAACTATTCACAAACTAGTCTCTGAACAATACCTCAGCCATATCCAAAAGGTTTTGATCTCCTACTCAAACCTACACGCTATTAGTTGCTCCAGTGTCTCAAATGCGCGTTTATGATTACAGCACTGAATTGCAAGAGTCAAAGGTGTGAAAGGAAACAGATTCCACAATATTTTAGAGGTGCTTTGTCAAATTGTTCTGAAACGGTTACAAAAGAGATTCCACAAGAATGGTCGTCATCACGAAGATGAGTACTATTTTTATTCAGCAACCCATATTCCAGAACTAAAAGCCGCAATCTCAAAAGTACTGAGAACATAGCTGAATTAAGTGTAGGTCTACCAGCTGTAGATAAAACATATTGTGGAATCTGTTTCCTTTCTCACCTTTGACTCATGGAATTCAGTGCTGTAATCATAAACGCGCATTTGAGACACTGGAGCAACTAATAGCGTGTAGGTTTGAGTAGTTTCTCACTTAATCATTGTTTTTGGCGGAGATCAAAACTTTTTGGATATGGCTGAGGTATTGTTCAGAGACTAGTTTGTGAATAGTTAAATTGAAAGAATATTTATATTCTCAGTCTGATGTTTTGATTGGCCTTCTAATATTCGCAGGTGTATAAATTTTTGATTATCAGAAATATACGCCATACTAGTTCTAATAGAAAAATGACTAGTATAAATAACGAAAATAAGGTGCAATTTGTATTCATCGTAAGTGCAAAAGTTTTACGTCGATTTCCAACCTCCGAATACAATATTTAAGATGTAAACGTTTACTATCTTGGCGTCTTTACAAATAAATTCAGTTCATTGCAACCACTCCTCTAACTAGTGCACACCCAATGGGCAAAAAACTGCGATAAAATCCCACACAATTACAGCCATTAAGTGAGTTTAATGTCTCAACTTACAATACAACCACAACAACTCATTAACAGTAGCGTCACAGCACAAAATACCGCTGGGTCGTTAACAGACTGAATGTCTTTTATGTGATTAAACAAAACTGCTCTATTTGATTTATCCATAGAAAGCACTCTGTCAAAACTCAACTAATTATTTATTCCTATTTGAGAGATGAAAACCAGATTTATCAGATCACTTTTCATAGATTTTCCTAACACAAATTAGTTGTCACCTGAGGTCATTTTCCTCTCCATTATGTTTCCCATATCAGCTATCTTCCAGACTTCTTGAAGCTAATCTCACTCATTTGGTGTATTTTTAAAGTGGAGCATGCTGGACAACTGAGAAAATTTTTTATTATCCTGAGTTCATTAATTTACAGCTTCTCCGTTCTAAACATTATACTTAATCTCATGGTTTTTTACCCGCAACTGTGACTCTAACTTGGTCAATTTATAACGCCACTTCACTTGGTCCTCCTCCTTAGTTGACAGACAGTGTTCACAGACTTTGTCGACCGTAACCTTATGTTTATTAATAATGGCAACATCCGCTACGTTACTAGGCATGTATTCCTGGATAATGCATCTTGAGTGGAAGCAAGATTAAGCAACACAAGAGGACTAAAATACAAACAGAGAGGGAACGGAATCCCCAGATCGCATAAATTGAAGTAGACATTATGAACCGAACTAACGCAGTGATTCCATCTCAGACAAGACCTCATGACTGACTCGAAAATACGGTACACAAATAGATATCACTTATCAACAGCTCAGAAAGTCATTTCCCACCTATTTACGTGTCCATAACATATGTATGAAAATTCAGACATAGGGATTTAAAAATTCACACAACTCCTAACACATCGCAAGCATCTGATGACAGCGATGTCAGTCGGTTAAATAACTTGTCAAAAACAGTATCATGATTCAGCTAAGATTAAATCAAAATTAGATGAGAGACTGCCCGGTACATCGAGTGTTCGGTGCGTAAAGCCTTCGTCGTTTTCTTTAAGGTTCTGCGAAAAAGAAGAGGGTGTCCATGACTGATCACTCAGTTTACGATCACATGGAGATGGGCATACGGAAACTGGGGTATCCTGGGTGTCTGAAGAGGGCAGATTTGAGAGTAAGGAAACAGATTGTTCGACATTAGGTTGATTGTTGGTATTACTGTTGGGTGAGGAAAAGAGAAAAATGGTGGGGGGTTGAATAGTTGGAGCATTGTAAAGATGGTTTTGGTGTCGGGGGAGTGTTTGTGGGGTAGTAGCATTGACTGGGTGGATCTCCAAGCAGACTGCTGAAAGTTTAGGCGATTGAGTCCATGTGGCTGTGCACCAGGAATATGGGCGTAGTTAAATTCGGTATTACGCAACCTCATAGTAGAAGCTGGGTAGCTGCAACTAACTGTATTAAAATGGTGAGGATAAGTGAGGGGGGAAGGTTGACTAATGTCAGTTATACTTGATACCGCAGACGTCCTTTAAGGAGATTTAAGCGCATGAGTAATAGAGGACGCCGAATCAGACTTGATAGAGTGTATGCCAGGCACAGGAATTCTGTTCCTTACATTTTTACTCAGAATCTTAGAGCTAGATGGGAAGGTGTTACAAGGGTTTTCGACAATTTTAGCATAGCGGGTATGATTTTTATTGGTACGTTTTGCAGCATATGAGTGCTTTCCAGGTTGCTTAACAACTGGAGAAATACTGGATTTAGTATTGGTAACCGTATCAAGCTTCATTTTAGGGTAACTAGGTGGAGGGCTTCTTTTAAGGTTAACGTGGGTTTTTTTTATTGACATCAGTATGGTCGGTAGTATCCTTTTGGTGATTTATTTTACATGCTGGGATACTTTGCTTGGCACGACGCTGGATTGGTGTCCTGTCATGAATAATACGTATATTTTTAAAGCTGCTTGCTCTCCTAAAGAGATGGTGGTTGTTTACAAAGAGACTTGCACCCACAATGCTACTAAATTCGAATATTATTTGACAGGATGTATTAGCTGAGGATTTACGCAATCGTTTCCACGTACAATAGGAATCTGGTATTTCACATGCCCTCAAAAGTTCGTTTTTCAATGTTTTAATGTTGGTACTGTCGGGCACATTGAAAACGATTGCATTATACATACATTGAACACGCTTTATCACTTCCATGGAATTGTGATCAATAATTCCCTCACAAGACTGTAATGTATCATAGTCAGGGTAATCAGCAGGCTTCATCAAGCACCTAAGAGGTAAGAGATCATGGACTAATGGAAGAATGTTTGTACTTTCCAGGTTGTTGGCTTGGGTGGATGTGTTTTGCGTAGAAAATGAGCTATTTGCTTTTTCAAATTCGGCATTAG